TTGAGGCCCCCCCCCCCCACCACCTGCCTGCATCACATATTTCATCCCCTCAGACTTCCTCTTCACATATCCCAAGAATTTACCCTCCCACCCTTCCTCATTCTAGAAATTTTCGCGATTTCCACTCTTAACGCCCCAAATCCTTCAGGATGCTCCTGGTGAAGCCATCTTCCTTGAAAAGCTTGCATATCCCAGAACAGTCTTCTTCAGATACTACTGAAATGCTCATCGATCCCAGAACTCACCTGGAGGACCCCCCCCCACACACACACACATTGCTTCCGTCTCTCATATGTACCCCAGCCCCTTCTCGTACCTCTTGGACCCTTCTATAGGTTTCCAAACTCTGGCCCAGGGACTTGGTGTTCCACAAATCTCCCCCACCTTGGAATGCTCTCAACTAAATCACCTCTCTGTACCCCCTAACCATTTTCTCCTGAGCCCCCACGCCTACTCATCTTGAAAGCCTCCAGAGAGCTCCTCTCATATTCCAAAAACCTCTTCCAAATCCCCTCTTATGTGTCCCAAATCCTTTCCCAGTAACACACACCACATGTTTTAAAAATTGTGTAAGGACTCCAAAAAGTTCCCTCACGGCCTCTGTAGTCTCTAGAATTCTTCTTGGATAACCCGAAAACCAGAGACTGCCCCCTTGTAGCCTCAGATAACTTTCTGAAGCTCCTCCTTACAACACTGAAACACCCCTCTGAGATACAGCTTTCAGGATCCCCTAGCATCAGAAACCCCAGTAACCCTGAGATGGCCCTTTAAATACTTCTCAGAGACCCTGACATTCCCTAGGACCTTTGAAGTTATTTGTCAGACTGTCCTACTGAAAGACTTTTCTAGTTATCTCTTCCTCAGAGCCCCCCCCCAACCATCTTTAGAAAGCCTTCCACACCTACCTAATCTTTCAGTGTAACTGAACACTCAGAATATTTTGAGAAAAACCTATTCTGATGCTACCAAGTCTTTGTTAGGAGTAACCCCCAAACCCCGGTATGCTCTTTTGACTTTTATTTGAGGTTTCTCATCAAAGCCCCCCCATGTGGAGTGTTATGTGTTTAAAGATGCCCCTGTCAGGGTCTCTCTCAAAAGACCACTCCTTCCCTCAAGACACTCCTTAGAGCATTTTCTCCCAGGCCCTGTGTCAGTAATCTCTAGCACCTTCTGGGAACCTTCCCTCAAATTTCCCCTCTGTCATCCCCAATCTTATTTTAGGACTCTGTCAGATTTATCCCAGTTAGGATAAACCTGTTCTCACTTTCTTTTTTCCTCCCATTCTCATTCCTTTGAAATCATAGACCCTTCTACTTCCCCCACTATTTCTTCAGAGACCGTCGCATCCTTCAGACTCCCCTTTCCCAAACTTCCTCTACTTCTGGGAATCCCAATGCTTTGAGACTGTTCTCTCAGATTGACTGACCAACCTGCCTACCTTCCTACCTTCTCTCCTTTCCTTTTTAGACCTGACCCTCATAGGTCTCTCCTTTCAGACTTGGAAAGATCTTTAACACCCACTTAGAGACTTCTTTTTTTGTTGTTGTTGGTTTGTTTTATTTATTTATTTATTTTTTTGAAACCAGGTTTCTCTGTATTGCTTTGGAGCCTGTCCTGGATCTTGCTCTGTAGACCAGGCTGGCCTCAAACTCAGAGATTCACCTGCCTCTGCCTCCTGAGTGCTGGGATTAAAGGTGTGGGCCACCAATGTCTGGCCACTTAGAAACTTCTTGAAAACTCACTTTCATCCTTTTCATTTTTGAAGACCCTTTACTGAAGAATTCCCTTCCCTTCTCTTGGTGGCTCTCAAAGTATTAGACCTGTGGCAGCATTGGTTGCAAAATGCCAATTTTTGTGTCTTATTCAGATTTATTGAATCAGAAAACTTCCGGAGCAGAGCCCAGCAATCTGAGTTTTTAACAAACAATCCTGTTGATTCTGATGTATGCTCAAATTTGAGAAGCACTGCTTCTAAGAGGCTTTCCTTTTCTAGAAGAAGTCCTCCTGAAAGAGCCCTAAAGATGTGCCTCTAAGCCCTGCTGTGCATCACCATTTTCTGGGGACTCTACTGTGTGAAGTACACATCCTCCAGAAAGACTTCTTACCCACTTGGAAGGATCTTGGCTTCTCCACAAGGTTACCCCACCCTTGGAGTAATTACTTCAGATTCTGCCTTTGAATGGTTCCCTTTCAGCTCTTCCTCAGCACTTTCTCCTTCTACCTGCTCCACTGGCCCACCCTAGAGCCTTTGCTGCTTTTGCTTTAAATTGCTACCTCCTTGAACACACATGTCCCTCTCATCTCATTTCTTTCTCTCTACATGGGCAACTTCAGGTCTTCTGTCTGTGTCTTAACTGCCAAGGGTTCTCCATGCAATTCACAGAGCACCAGTCACTTTCCTGCTGTAGTTTTTTATGCACTTGCTCTCTTACCCTCACCAGACAGGAAGGTAGACGCACAGGCTGTATCTGAATGTGTCAGGTGTCCCCGGGAATTATTGGAGAATGGGTAGCTCCAAGTTTCTCAGATCCCACTCTCCATTCATGTCTGATACACCTTCCCTGCCCCCTTTTCCCTTTCATCACTCTGGTCAGTCCCTTTGCCTCTCCTCCTGCCCACTGCTTCTGTTCATGGAACTTCTCTTGGCACTGATTCTGAGCTGTGCTGTGTTCTGTTCTGGTGACCTACCTCACCCCATCTTATTAGCTTCTCAGTCTCTCTTAGTTTCAGATCTCTATAGTACTCTCAACTTTTTCCAAGAGAATCCATTCCTCTGTAGGACCAAGAAGAGGAAATAGATCCAAGATAAACACTGTCTTTAGGGAGCTCACTATGTAGTAGAGGGCTTGGGCAGGTGCACCTCAAAGGACATGAGGTACAAAATATATACTGTGGAGACTCAGCTGTTTGGAAAGACTTCATCGAAAAGGTATTTAGGTGAGGTAGTGTTCATGGGAATTAGGACCACAATTAGGAGCTCCTAGGCAGGGGACATAGTTTAAACAGTGTATGCTTTTGTTTTTATGGTGCTGGGAATTGAACTCAGGACCTGGGGCACAAAAGACAAGTGTTTAATGACTGAGCTACATCTGAAGCCTCAAGAAAGCGTCATCTCTCACCCATAGTTTCTTCTGTATATGAGCAGGGTTAAAGGAAGCAGGACTCTTTGATTTGCATGATATTTTATAGCTGCACTAGGGTGACCCACAGATGTAACAGGGATTGCTGTTTACTAAATACTTACTGTTTGCTAGGCACTGTGTACGTGCTTCTTCTGTGTAGTCTCATATCATGGGACCTGAGGTAGATAAACTACGATTATCTTCATTTCACATATGATGAAGTGAGGGACAGGTGGGACTAATAGAAGGTCTGTGGGCCCTGCCCGTCCCCAAATGATAGTGCCTTAGGTCAGAGAGTTGGATTTTCTGTTTAGATAGGGGCTGGGTGTGACCCTTATGTTTCTACAACTGAAAAAAATGAAGGCCATAATGATATCTTACTTCGTGGACTAAGTTAATGGATGTAAAGTACTTAAAACAATGCTTTGTACACACTGAGTGCTGTGAGCAGAAAGTAATGTTAGCCAAGGCCCTAAAAGGTAGTAGAATCTTAACA